TCCAATCCATCACATCAGCCCCAAATGACCGCCAAAAGGTCTGCTGGTTTCAGTTTCCCCCAGGACAGTCCCTGTGCTTGGGGCCAGCCTGATCCTCAGCCTTTAATTACCCCCAGGAAAGACCATGGCTAGCGAACGCCTAGGAAGGAGTCTTCCCTCTCTGGAATTTTAGTCCATCTGGTCCTTGTTGCTCTCTGGTGTCTTTAAAAATATGATTATTGTCGTATCAGCATTTTTTAGTTTCAAAAGTACTGCCTGTTGTGACCTACTATATCCTATCCAGAAGCAGAAGTCCTATTCGCTAAATTTGAAAGAAACTTAGCATTCACAGTCCTACGATGGACAAAATTTCGCAATGGATTTAATACGCGGTATGAGGAAGAAGGAAAAATCAGGCATGACTCCTAGGTTTCTGGGTAGCAACTGGATGGTTGCTAAGGGACCATAGTTCAGTGGTATTATATACATCCATAACTATGGTTGCTATGGATGGTTGCTAATTCACTAAGGGATCATGATGATCTGAAGTAAAAAGGGGGAATGATTATGAGTTATTTTAAAATATAAAATGGGGGACTTCCCTGGTGGCGCAGTGGTTAAGAATCCCCAATGCAGGGGACACGGGTTTCAGCGCTGTTCCGGGAAGATCCCACATGCCACAGAGCAACTAAGCTTGCGCACCACAACTACTGAGCCTGCGCTCCAGAGCCCACGAGCCACAACTACTGAAGCCCATGCACCTAGAGCCCATGTTCTGCAACAAGAGGAGCCACCTCAATAAGAAACCCGTGCACCGCAATGAGGAGCAGCCCCCACTTGCTGTAACTAGAGAAAGCCTGCACGCAATGAAGACCCAACGCAGCCAAAAATAAATAAATAAATAAACATATACATACATACATACATACATATATATATAACACATATATATATAAAATGGTTCACAGGTTTCTAGTTTTAGGAACTGAAATAAGGCAGTGCAGTTCATTAAGATAAACACCACTGGAAGGTAATCTAATTTCGAAGACAAGATTGTGAGTTTGGTTTTGGATATGTTGAATTTTAAGTATCTTTGAGGCTTTAAGCAGTCATCTGGATTTAGACATTTGTGTCTCAGAGAAGAAGTGAGGGCTGGAGATACAATTTTAAGGGTAATCGGCATATAGGAGGTAATTGATGTCATGGGTGTGAATGAGGTTGAACTGGCTGAGAATAGAGAGTGACTAGGAAAGAGAGCCTAGGCTGGAGTCTTGAGGAACTCCAACAGTAAACAATCAGACATATCCTCTTCTTTGATTTATATTCCTTTCAGTGCTCCAAAACTCCAAATTTGGATTCTTACTGATACTCCTTTTTTTTTTTTTTTTTTTTTTTACTGATACTCCTTTTTGCTGTTAGTAAGCTATATCAATTTATCTTGGGAAAATTCTATCAACCAGAGTTTTCATCAGCAGATCTCCAACATTTTTGGAAATTTTTTTAAGGGAATCCACAAATCCCATAGAGTTTTAACATTATTTTTCAAACTGCAGGTCATGACTCAGTAGGTCACGAAATCAGTTTAGAGGGTCCTGATTAGTACTTTAAAAATGAGATCAATAGAAGAGAAAATATCAAGAAGTACATCACATGCAGTAAAAGCATCTACACTTTCTTCCTTGGTGAAATTTTCCAGTCTCATGGCTCAAAATGCCATGTAATTCCCAAATTTGTATCTCCAGCCCAAGCCTCATAAACTCCATGCTCATTAAGACATCTCCACTTGAATGTCTACTAGACATTTCCAACTGAAATACGAACCCCTAAACTTCCTTCCCAAGACACCTCCACCTGCAGCTTTCCCAGGTGACGGTAATTTCATCCACCTACCTTTGGCCCTGTAGGTCTACATCCCAGGAGTCACTTTTTACTTCTCTCATTCTCTAACATACCATAGCCCATCTGTCAGGAAATGCTATTAAGTACACCATCAGAATCCAACCACTTCTCATCATCCCCACTACTACCACCCTGGCCCAAATTACTATCACCTCCTCTCTCACCTGGATTAAAGCAACAGCCTTCCAACAATTCTCTTTATTTCCACTCTTACTCCTGCTATACTCAACACAGTGGTCAGAGCAATCCTTTAAAACAGGGATCGGGGGGCTTCCCTGGTGGCGCAGTGGTTGAGAGTCCGCCTGCCAATGCAGGGGACATGGGTTTGTGCCCCGGTCCGGGAAGATCCCACATGTCGTGGAGCGGCTGGGCCCGTGAGCCATGGCCGCTGAGCCTGCGCGTCCGGAGCCTGTGCTCCGCAACGGGAAAGGCCACAACAGTGAGAGGCCCGGGTACCGCAAAAAAAACACAAAAAAACAAGGATCAGCAAACTTTCTCTAGAAAACCAGAGAGTAAATATTTAGCCTGCTTGGGCCAAGAGGTAAAATCGAGGCTATTACATAGGTGCTTATATAACAAAAGAAAAAACATGCTTGTAAAAATCATTTACTGACAAAATTCAAGGTATAATAATTGAGTACAATTTTTTTGTAACACAGGTCTACTAATGAGAAGAATGAAAAAATTTTTTAAAAAATGGATACCATTTTGCTAAATGAGTTCAAAGCCAATGTTCCCGACCATCAAATCGACTACAAATATTTATCTGTAAAAACCATTCTTAGCTGATGGCCACACAAAAACAGGCAGTGGGATGGATTTACCCTGTGGGTTGTTGTTTGCTGACATCTGTTTAAAATATAATCAGATAGTATCACTCTTATCTCAAAACCCTGTGAATTAGTTTTCTATTGTTGTGTAACAACTACCACACATTCAGCAGGTTAAAACAATACCCATTTATTATCCTCAGTTCTGTAGATCAGAAGTCCAGGTGGGCTTGCCTGGGCTCTCTGCTTACGGTCTCGCAAGGCTGAAACCAAGGTGACCTCTTATAGAGAGGATCTGGGAAAGAATCTATATCTAAACTCATCCAGGATGTTGAGTTTAGAACTGACAGAAGCCAGTTCCTTGCAATTGCAGGTCTGAGGTCCCCATTTCCTTGCTGGCTGTTAGCCAGCAAGCACTCTCAGCTTCTAGAAGCTTCCTGAATTCCTTGTCATGTGTCATGTAGCTCCATCTTCAAAGTCAGCCAAATTGCATTCAAACCTCATGCTTTGAATCTCTCTGATTTCCCTTTCTGCTACCAGCTGGGAAGAACTCTCTGCTTTTAAAGGTCTGGGCTGATAGGGTTACCCACCCAGTAATTATATCTCAAAGTCAGGGGGCTTGGGACTTTCATTACATCAGCCAAATCCCTTCCCAGCAGTGCTTAGGTTAATGTTAGATTGAGTAACCAGGGGACCAGAATGCTGGCGTGGGGGCAGGGGGAGCATCTTTAGAATTCTGCCTACTACACCCTGCAATAATTTCCTACTCAGGGTAATAAGGCACTAAGAAAGGGTCAACTCGATTTGTGCCACCTGCTCTTCCCCAACTCCCATGCATGTCCCATTACCTGTCTGATGGTATTTCCTACCACTCTCCCTCTGGCTTACTCTGTTCATCCACCACTAGCTGTTCATCCAACTTGCTGCTGCTTAAACATGCCAGACACGCTCCCACCTTAGGATCTCTGCCTGGAATGCTCTTCTCTCAGATATCTACTTAGTTAACTCCTGTATCTCCAAGACTTTGCTCCACTTTCACTCTTTCAATGAGGCATATCTGATTATACTACTTAATACTACAATCTGTACTCTCGCTCCTGGCACTGCCTATTTCCCCTACCCTGTTCAATTTTTCCTTTTTTTCTACTGTATTTCTCACCTTTAACATACTATATATTTTAACTTATTTATGTTTATTGTCTGTCCCTCCTTGCTAGAATTAAGCTCCTCAAAGGTAAGGATCTTTGTCTATTTTTTTTTTAAATGATGTATTTTTTGTTTACTAAGCACTTAGCACAGTGGCTGGCACAAAATAGATGTTCAATAAAAATTCACTGAAGGAAGTTTGGGAAACTCCTGCTTCAGTTTTTTATTTACTTATTTTTTATTTTTTTGGCCACGCCGCAGCATGCAGGATCTTGGTTCCCCAACCAGGGATGGATGCCATGCACCCTGCGGTGGAAGCAGAGTCTTAACCACCTGACCACCAGGGAAGTTCCCTGTTTCAGTTTTTTATATACATATAAAAAACTAGTATACGAACTAGGTTGTGATGTAAAATATATTTCTTATTGAAGAGTGTAGTCAAGAGTGTTTGAAAACTACTGGGGTTAGACTGTATGACCTCTATGGTTCTTTCCAAATATAAGCATTTAAGAATTTCTATGTGCAGCTAGTAAATGTCCACTACATCCTTTGGGATATGGCAAGGTGCACAGCCTAGTGACGACAGCAAGGCACTGATTACTGAAACATAATATTGACACCGAAAAAGCTAAATAGCATCCCTACCTGTTGTATAATAGTAGGTTAGAAAGAACTGTGGAAACAGCAAGAACTGTTGAATGCCCCAAAATATAAAAATCTAAATGTAACTCTTCCATCAAAAAGAGATATAATTTGATGGGCTTCCCTGGTGGCATAGTACTTAAGAATCCACATGCCAACACAGGGGACATGGGTTCGAGCCCTGGTCCAGGAAGATCCCATATGCCACGGAGCAACTAAGCCTGTGTGCCACAACTACTGAGCCTGCGCTCTAGGGCCCGTGTGCCACAACTAATGAGCCTGTGTGCTGCAACTACTGAAGCCTGCACGCCTAGAGCCTGTGCCCCACAACAGGAGAAGCCACTGCAATGAGAAGCCCGCGCACTGCAAGGAAGAGTAACCCCCACTCGACGCAACTAAAGAAAGCCTGGGCGCAGCAACGAAGACCCAATGCAATACCCAACGAAGAAAATAAATAAATAAATAAATTTATATTAAAAAAAAGAGATGTAATTTGAAAGCAAATCACAAAAGACAACGTTTTCCGCATCAAAATTTCCCTGGTTAAAGCTTCCACTCACTTACTGAAGAAGCGAAGATGAGTGAAGAAAGATATCGCTTAAAGTCTCTGCTGTAGAAATTGTAACCTGAATGGACTTGGGGAGCAAAGACCACTTCTGAAGTACGTATGATTTCCACTCATCCACGGGCAGATCCATGCTACTTTAAATCTAAAAAATGAATAAGAAAATAAGGAATTCAGATTACTACAAATGCACAGTTCTAGAAAGTCAAGATTTCATTCAAGCATGCATGAAACAACAAAATCAATTCTTGTGGTCTCTTCCTATAGTTGTTTACATGCTGAGGAAACATCTATTGTTTCTCACCCCAATTCACTCAACATCCCTTCATTCAGAAATATTTATTGAAAGCTTACTTTGTTCCAGGCATCATACTAGGTACTGGTTATACAATGCTGAATCAGAACTCTTACCCAGTTCAGTATTTTCTTTTCAATCCCCAGGTCACTCCTTCAGCTCAAGCCCACACCATTTCCTGTCTGGCATTCTTTCTGGAGTGTCATAACTAGTCTCCATGCCCTCAGACACCCCCACTTCCCCATTCCAAATTCAGTCCATCTTCCACACTGAGACAGATGTCAGTACTCCGCCTTAAATTCATCAATGCTCCTCCTAGCATTTAGGGAAGCCCAGTACAAACCCTTCATTATTTGACTCTTGGCTTACTTTCTAATGCTCAAGTCTCACTTCTTCCTCTGTACCCTACTATCCTAGCTACTCAAAGCTATCCCCAGCTTGCCAGGTTATTCAACTCCCTAGGTTTTACAAAGACTATTCATTGGCCCTACCCTCACTTGGAGTCCACCTGGCAAATTTCCAAGCATTCTTCAAGACCCAGGTCAAATGGTACCTCCTCTGGGAAGCCTTCCCTGACTTTTCCACCTGTGATAGCAGCACACTTTGTGTCTCTCCTGGGGCCCAAACCATGTCTACCTTGAGTTAGTGCTCCTCACAGCAGAAATTCCCTCGACAGACTGTGCTCTCCTCTTGAGGGTAGGGACCAGGTGTTATTTACCTTGAGAGATCCCCACTGTGCCAAGCTCAGGGTCTGGAACCTGCGGGAGCTCAGCTCTGGGTTGCTGAAGGAAGCAAGTCAATGCTTTGACTACATCTAGTAGCAGAGTTACTAGGGCAATAGCTCTACCACTCCTCTGGGGTACCAGTCAGTGACTGCCCACCAAAAGCCGAGCTGGGTACGTTTCCGAGAGTCAGCTCGGAAAGCTGCCGGAACTGGTCCACTCCGCAACCTTTGCTGCGTACGCGTCACGCTTCGCGCATCACGCTTCGCGCGCTCCGCGGTTCCGCGCCCCGCCCCCAGGCCCCCCAATCCAGCGACTAGGCCCCGGACCTGGGCTCCGGTGAGTCACGTGGGCCACCCGCCGCGCTTCGACCAATGAGGTGGCTGTTCGGCTCCTAAACCCGCCCCCGTGCCGTGCGCACGTCGGGAGGCCGTCGCAGTGCACGCAGGTCCTCGGGCCAATCGCTTTGGAGCGCGCGGGTTCCCTGGAGTAAAGCCAGGGCTGCGGAGGGGTCGGAGTGCTGGAGTTGTTGCGGCGGAACCATGGTGGGCCACCTGAGCGAGGGGGCTATTGCGGTGAGGAGACGCCTGCGAGCCGGGCGCGGGTCGGGGTGGCTGTGGGCCTTGGGGCTGTGCGGGGTGGAGAAGGGGGAGAGAACACGGGAGGAGGAGACAGCGGGGGCCGGGGAGGAACCGCCGGGTGACTCCCTAGAATCATCACTCCTCAAAGCATTTTTCCCATCGTCTTTTAAACACGCTCATGTTTTTCCTGCTTAAGGAAATGAAACGAAATAAACTGTTGATTTTCGCCTGTCTCTCTCCCGCAGCCACTCTCTTTCTCCTCCCCTTCCCCCATCCGCAGCCTAACTTTCCTAGAGTTGTCCGTTTTCAGTTCTTTCTTTTTCTCGCCTCCCATTAAATCCTTCAACAGACTCCAATCAGTCACTCCTCTGATCACTATAGAAGTAACCCTGGCTGAAGTCAGCAGTGCCTCCAGGTCGTTAAATCCAACAGACACTTTTGAGAATTAAATTTACCCGAGTTTTCAGCAGCGTTTGGCTATTGATCATCGCTTTCTTTTGGTAACACCCTCTTCTTTCGGTTTCTGTGGCTCAGCTTGGCTTGTCTTTCCCCGTCTTATTTGGAGATCTCTCTGTAAATTTTTGTTGACTCTTCTCCCGAGTCAAATTACCATCTGTATGTCAATTGCTCACAAATTTCTGTGTCCGGAGCCACCTTTACTCTGAAAGACAAACCTCTATCAGCTGCGTACTTGATATCTCAAACACATTTTAAATTCAACATGTCCCAAAGCAAATCCATTATCTTTCTAAATCTGGGCCTCTACCGTTCCCTATCTGGATGAATGGCACCGTTATTCATTAAGTTATAACAGCCAGAAATTGTGGACTCATTCTTGGTACACATTCCGTCACCCTGGATTGGATGACCAGTCCCTTCCCAAGTCTGGTGTGTTTTACCTCCACATACATCTCTTAAATGCATCTACTTCTCTCCATCCACACTGGCACCATTGTTTCTGCCTGGCCTTCTCACTTCTACCCAGCATAACCCTCCTCCTGCCATTCCCATCATAGCATATTCCCACCAGTTCTTTCCTCCTTTACAGCCTTTCCTTTTTTTTTTTTTTTTTTAAATTTAAATCCGGGTATATTTCATACTCCTGCCTTCCACAGGGGCTTTGAACATTCTTTAACCTGTGCCTACTGCGTGGGTGGTTCTTCATTCTCCCCCTGCTGACTAACGTAACCTTCAAGTCTCTGCTCAGTTACTTCCTCAGAGAAGCCTTCCTTGACTCCCCTTGCTAGGCTAAATCCCTTTATTTTCAGCCCTTAATTCCTGTTTGTTCACGATATTAAACTCTGCCTTTCCTCTTCTGTCAAATGAGGTTAATCATACCTAGTACCTATTGCCTGAGGTTAGTGGGACGATTAAATGAGCTATTAATTTAAAGTGCTTAGTCCATGCCTGATGCATAATAAATGCTCATTATATGTTACCTATTATTAATAATCACAGATGTGATCTTACATTTATATGTTGTTTATTTGATTCATATCAGTTACTTTCTGTCTCCCTCCACTGGATTGTAAATTCTTTGAGGCCTGAAATTTTGTCTGTTTTTTTGCTCAATGTAGTCTCCCCAGTACCGGAAGGACTGCTGGCAAGTTTTAGGTGCCCAATAAATGTTTGCTAATTGCGCGTGAGGCAGGGAAAAGAAAGGGACAGAGATGGATGGGGAAGAACAGTTGGCAGAGTTGAGTGAATATTTTCATAAATTAGAAATAACCCCGAGAAGTGATTGCAAACTGTAGTCCTTGTTTACTTTATAGCTGCTACCTTGCATCTTTAAGACAAATTAGGAATTGTTCTTCACTTTCAAGGAAAGTGACTGGTATTTTTCAAATAATTTGATGAGTTAGTTTTTGCCATATTCAAAATTTAGGAAACATTTCCAGTGTTAGGTGAAGTGTTACTTAGGTTTTGTTCATAAATGATAAGGAAAATTTGTGTGTGTGTGTGTTTGTGGTGATGGAGTGTAGAGTACCTTTGTCAAGTTTGTTTATCAGCTAAAGCAGGTAATATCATTTTAGTTCAAAAGACATAGACCCCAAAGGGTAAGCACTAACACACAAATAGTGCATTTTCGGCAAGAGCGAACATAAAATAAGAGATTTTGCGTGGAACTATTGTGGTAAATAGAACTAATAGCATTTGTATCTTGAGTAATTAGGTAATACAAAGAAAGGGGAAGGGAATGAATACTTTTGATCTTTTCCAATGTGCCAGATACTTTATCATAGTCAGTAGTTACAGTACCCCTGTAAAGTAGATTTTTATCATTAACCCCATCTTACAGATGAAGTAATTGAAGTCCAGAGAAGTTAAGTAATTTGTGCATGAGGTGAGGATTTGAACATGTGCTCTGAACCATTCCATTCTGTTGTTTTGTATTTTTTTCCTTCCAGTTTTATTGAGATATAATTGACATACAACACTGTATAACTTTAAGGTGTACAGCATAATGATTTGACTTACATACATCATGAAACAATTACCACAGTAAATTTAGTGAATGTCCATCACCTCATACAGATACAAAATAAAAAGAGAAAAGTATTTTTTTTCCTTGTAATGAGAACTCTTAGGATTTACTCTCTTAATAACTTTCATATATAACATTGTTAATTATATTTCATATATAGCATTGTTAATTATATTAATCATGTTGTATGTTACATCCCTGGTACTTATTTATCTTATAACTGGAAATTTGTACCTTTTGACCACGTTTGTCAGGTTCCTCCTCCCTCTACTTCCTGCCTCTGGTAACCACAAATCTGATCTCTTTTTTCTATAAATTTGTTCCTTTGTTTGTTTGTTTTTGAAGTATAATTGGCTTACAATACTGTGTAAGTTCTTGGTGCACAACATAGTAATTTGATATTTCTGTACATTACAAAATGATCACCACTGTTGCTTTGTATTTTTATTAGCAATGTAAATTTGGAAAATTTAAGTCAGTTCTGTCTTATGTGTATATATCATGCTATATGTCCCAGAAGAGTAAGTCTTATATTCACTATTTATGATGACACAAATAAATTTAAAAGAATGATAAAGTACTACATGTATTTGGTTTTAGAATCAAATAAAACAGAAAGGTGCCTGATGAAATTACTGACCTGTCCCTTCCCCCAGTTCTGTTCCTTTAAAAAAAAAAAAAAAAACACCTTTACTGAAGTTCAATTTGATTTACATATAACAAAAACTATAATACATATTGTTTACAAACTATATCAGTCTGTAATACATCAAACTATATGCAGTAATACATCAAACTATATGCAGTTTGATGAGTTTTGATACATCAAACTATATGCAGTTTGATGAGTTTTGACAAATGTATACACCACCCCAATCTGCTCCTTTCCCATCCCCTGCCCCTACCCTAGGCAACCACTGTTCTGGGTTCTGGTTTCTATCACTATAGGTTAGTTTTGACTGTTCTAAAATTTCATATAAATGGAATCAAATAATATGTACCCTTTGTGTCTGGCTTCTTTCTTTCAGCAAAATGATTTTTGAGATTTAT